AGCAGGGGAAAAGAACTTGACATACAGATAAGTGAGGCATATGGGACTCCAACTAGCCGTGATTAAGAAAATCTACACATAGACTTTTAATTGTTAAGATTCTAGAAACCCTACAGAAGAACAAAGTTCTACAAGCAGTTAGAGAAAAGAAACAAATCACATAGAAAGGAAAGCCCATCAGAATCACAGCAGACTTCTCAATGCAAACCCTCAAGGCAAGAAGACCTTGGAGTGATGTATTTCAAGCCCTAAAGGAAAACAGTCTCCAACCCAGATTGATGAACCCTGAAAAACCATCTTTCAAATTGATGGAGAAATCAGATACTTTCATGACAGAGAACACCTTAGGAATTTCATGAATACCAAACCAGTTCTCCAAAAAATTTTAGACAATATCCTAGGAAAAGACAATGAGGATCACAACCCCAGGAAGCACAGTAGAATGAATCCTTCAGGCACAATAAGAAATTAAACGCAAAGGGGGAGAATCCAACAAAAAGAAAAAGTCATGACAATGATAAGTCAATAAGTATCACTTATAACCATCAATGTTAATTGTCTCAATTCACCAATCAAAAGAAATAGACTGGCAGAATGGGTCAAGAAGTAAGATCCAACAATGTGCTGCATACAAGAAACACATTTGATTCAAAAAGAAACTCATAGACTGAAAGTTAAAGGGTGGAAAACAATACTCCATGCTACAGGACCCCCCAAAAAAGCAGGAGTAGCTATCCTCTTTGCAGACCAAGTAGATTTCAAGTCAACACTGATTGGGAGACAAAGAAGAACACTACATCCTTGTAAAGGGACCAATCCAAGAGGAAGAGATGACAATCATAAATATATATGCACCAAATGCTAGTGCACCCAACTATAGAAAACAAATACTAACGGACCTGAAAAGTCATATATGCACGAATACAATAGTAGTGGGGGACCTTAATACTCCACTGTCACAGATAGATGAACTAGACAAAAAATAAGCAATGAAATACTAGAACTCAATCAAACAAACTTAACAGATGTTTACAGAGTGTTCCACCCTACAAAATCAGATTCTTTTCAGCTGCACATGGTCCTTCTCCAAAATACCACATACTTGCTCATAAAACATGTTTAAATAAGTGCAAAGGAACTGAAGTTATCCCCTGTATATTATCAGACCATAGTGTGATGAAATTGGAGATCAACAGCAAAAAACCTGCAAAAATTTCATAAACATGTGGAAATTGAACAGCACACTTCTGAAAACCAATGGGTCACAGAGGAAATTAAAGAACAAATCAGAAAGTTCCTACAATTAATGACAATGACAATGCAACATACAGGAATCTATGGGCCACAATGAAAGCAGTCTTATGAGGGAAGTTCAGAGCAGTGAATACTCATATTAGGAAAACAGAGCAAGCTCAATTAAACAACCTGATGCTGAACCTCCAGCTTCTAGAAAAAGAAGAGCGGGACAACCCCAAAGCTCATACAAGTGAGGAAATTATAAAAATCAGAGGAGAAATCAATTCAATGGAGACTAAGAGAATGATACAAAAAATCAATGAAGCCAAGATTTGGTTCTTTGAAAGAATAAACAAAATTGACAAACCCTTAGCCAGGCTTATCAGAAAAAGGAAGGAAAAGGCCCATATCCATGCAATTAGGAATAAAAAGGGTCAAATTACAATGGACCCAGCAGAAATCCAGAGGATCATCAATACCTACTTCCAGAACCTATAAGCCAATAAGATGGAAAACACCAAACAAATGGACAGATTCCTGATACATATGAATTACCAAAGTTGAATGAAGAAGACCTAAAAATTCTAAACAACCCAGTATCAATCAATGGAACTGAAAACGTAATTAACAACTTACCAAGTAAGAAAAGCCCAGGTCCTGATGGTTTCACTGCTTAATTCTACAAGACATTTAGAGAGGAACTACTGCCACTACTGTTTAAACTCTTCAAGGAAATTGAAAAGGAAGCAATACTCCCAAATTCATTCCTGGAAGCAAGCATCACCTTGATCTCCAAAGCAGAGAAAGACCCAATCAAAAAGGCGAACTATAGGCCAATCTCACTAATGAACATAGATGCAAAAATCCTTGATAAGATACTGGCAAATAGAATGCAGAAGATCATCAAGAAGATCATACACCCTGACCAAGTGGAATTCATCCCAGGGATGCTGGGATGGTTCAACATACGCAAATCAATCAATGTAATACACTGTATCAATAGAGCCAAGGACAAAAACCCTGATTTTCCTGTATTTCTTGGAGACACTGGATTACATTCCATGGGTTGGTGATCAAAGCATTGTTTGTAGGTGCCCATTGGATCATAATTATTAGAGTCTCAAGTGAGGTTTTGTTTTGCCCTGTTTTTATTTGTAAGGAATTATGTTCTAACCACCAAAAATAATAGAATTGTTTTACTATAATCCTGTTCTTTATAGCAGTGGTTCTCTTCTCCAATGGATGTTTGACAATGTCTGGAGGCATTGGGGTTGCCATAACAAAAGGGGAAGCACGAAGGAGGTCTGGTGATATCTAATGGGTAGAACCTAATGATGTTTCTAAACACTCCATAATTTTTCCCCACAACACAATTTATCTGGTCCAAAGTATGAATAGTGCCAAACTTGAGAACCTACTTTAGAACAGTAGTTCTCAACATTTGTTGCATATGAGAATCACCTTGAGGGGCTGATGCCCCGGTTGTATACCAATGGATTAAATCAGCATCTCTGAGCAGTGGGGCTCATGCAAAAGTATTTGTTAATCTTCCCAAGTAATTGTAGTACACAGACAAGATTGAGAAATGCTACGTTAAAGCAAAAATTTTGAGAAAGCAAGCCTAGTTTCAACATCATCCTAAGTAGTGTTTTATGAAAGTACATAAAAAGATCTCATTAAATGAGCTTTGACATATTAGGCAGTGTCCCATCACATTATTATAGTGAAGCTCAAATGAATTTTTTTTCTATTCTCTAAATCAAATGCTTAAAACTTGAAAAACTGCTATTCTCATTGGCATATTGTAAGTTTGTTTTCCTCTGGCTCTTTCTGTCTAATAAAGTATGTTCTTTCTTCATCTAGCAAGTGGAGATAATAAGTGTTTATTGCTTCAGTCAGTGGAGTTCTCAATAACCTTTAAGGTATTTATCATGGGTCATTTGTTTTCTTTCAAGCTTTTTTTTTCCTTTTTTTTTGGGTACCAGGGATCGAACTCAGGTCCTTGCGTTCTGAGGCAGGCGCTGGAACCACTGAGCTAAATCCCCGGCCCTCTTTCAAGCTTTTAAAAAAAGTATCTTTATTATTTGATGAATGAATATTATCATGTTTATCTACCTGGATTGATATGCTTTGCCAAGGAGCTAAAATATTATTACAGTGTTTTATTGATAACTTGGCCCTTCATTCCCTATTTTCTCTCACCAAACTCTTAAAATTCACGGATAGTCATTCTAAGCTTTAAACAGATAAATATTCTCTAAATATTATTAATGTATAATTTTTATTTTATTTTAGATGCCTGCATTGATGGCATAGGTTCTCAGGAACATCCCTCCAGCCTGAATAAATGTATCTCATAGCTTTTGACAGTTATGATAGATTGAACAGTGTTTGGTGATGTATTGTACAGTAAAAACTATACAACTTAAACAGCAGATGCTTGTCTAGTATACCATAAAACAATCCTCTTCCATGTTTGTATCAGAGTCTCTATGGAGTCTAGCTCTGGGTACCCAGTAATACCCAGAATGAGGTACTACTCTAGATCACCATGGGACATGTGAATTTTTAACCTGCTTTTGTTACCTAGGTAGGCCCTGTAAACCTGTCAGGGCCTTATAGAAGGCAATTAAGTCCTTTATCTTTACTGACTGTCATATTATCTATAAGAATCTGTTGAAATGTAACAGTGAGGCTGTTTTGGGTCAATGGAGAACAAGAGTGTGATTCTGCAAAGGCATGGTGTCTAGTTTGGATGGATGTTGTGTTAGAAATAGAGGAGTAGTAGGCAACAGAACTAGGAAGTGTCCTGGAGCCAGGTAGGTAGATAGAAAAATGTCAAAAGTTGGTAGGTGGTTAAGGATAGACTGTTTTAGGTTACGAAGCCTAATTCCATTTGTGAACTGCCAATAATATTAACATTATTTGTCTTAGAATCAGCCAGACTCTTAACTAGCTTTTCCCCATTGACAAGCCTGAGAAATCTTGCTAGCAAGAATTTAACTGTATATAAAAGTGATGGCAAACTACATAAACATATTTCATTATAACCAAATTTGATATATACTTAATTCAAGTTATTCTTAGTTGGTTCGTAGCAGGAGGCCAATCTAGCAACAGTCTTTATAAAAGGAAATATATCATGAGGATGTCAGAGTGAAGAGAGGCGTCTCACTTGTCTACATCTTATTTTCTCAGTATCATCTTCAAAATTTTCAAAAACATATGATTCAGGCCTTGGAGAGAGTGTGTACAAGGGAGAGTCTTTCACGGGTAAGTTTCTTTAGCTTCAAATAAGTCTGGCTCTGATCTGGGGCTTTTTCTTTTTCTTCTATAAAATTTCAGAATCAGACAAGTGAGTTTTAGTAAAATTACTTAGACAGTTACTGTCATTTCTCATAGTTATATAGGAAGTATATACTCTGGTTACATTTTAGACTAGGTCATAATACCCAAGCAAAGACATAAATGACTGATTTCAAGATTGAATTGAAGCCAGGATAATTATTCATAGAAGCCTACAACAGACAAGTACCTAGTACCAATTGCTGGCTATCTTCTCCAATCCAAAAGTGAGAATTGATGACAAGCAAGAGTCTAAATTGTACAGCAGCAATTAATCCTGAGGTTTTTTGAAGACAGCAGATTTCTAGGCGTAGGAAACCCATAGTAACCAGAAATCTGGGCAGTAAGGGTCTGTCTTGTAAGCCTGGTCTAACTGGACTTGGCCCAGCCAGCCAGCTGGAGTATCACAAAGGAGCTCTGCTACTGAGGAGGGAGATGGCCTGAGCAAGACAGGGAGTAGGTCCAAAAGTTGGGCCCAGACCCAAATTTGGGGACACAGCTGGACTCTGAGGAAATGTTGGAGCCTTGTAATCAGTGCCATGTTTCTTGGATGGTGAGTAGCAGTTCTTCACATAGGCTCAGGATCCAAGCTTAGATTGGGCCTGTGAGCGTGGCACTCAGTAGGATCAGCTGTGGGAAGCAGAAGCTAGGACAGGACTAATAAGTGCTTTACAACAGTGGTCTTCAGAACAGTGTCCGTGTATCTCCTAAAAGAATTTTGAAAACAGGATACTCTTCTGAAATATTCATAAATTTTCCTATAAATTCTTAAGTTTAGATAGTTACAAAGAATGTACTTTCTGACATATTTTATGTTATATATGGGATTTAATTTTTTTTTTTTTCTTTTTTTTGTGCCGGGGATCAAACTCAGGACCTTGCGCTTTCGAGGCAAGCAGTGGAACCACTGAGCTAAATCCCCTGCCCGGGATTTAAATATTTTAATCAAAATCTTAGAGCTGCAAATTTATGTCAGGTTTTGGGGAAATGACCACTACTTAGCCTAGTTGTCAAAGACAGTCCTTACTATCAAATAAAAGGGCCAAAATATTTACTTTCTATTTTTAAAAATTCTTCATTTTAAAACTGTAAGTAGAGATATTAAAACAATTCTCTGTAAAAATTATCTTTCCCCTGACTTCTAATTCTACAATAGAGAGATGAATGAATGGGTGAATAGGTAAAGGGATAAATAGAATAAAGAAAGGAAGGAGGGAGGGAAAGAGGGAAGGAGAGAGGGAGAAAGGAAAGAAGAAAGGAAGGAAACCAGATGGATCAACATCTAACACCTTTCTGTAAAGTGTGTCAGCTAGATGAAAGAATGCACTTTGGCCTCCAGTAAGTTTTTACACCCTAAGAAATGCTACATAGTAAAATTTTTGACAGGTATGAGGGATGTTGTTCTTTTGTAATGTAGGAGGAAGGCAATTATGAAAGGAACAGTATGGAGGAACCAACAGAGATGTCAGCTTAAACAGAACCAAGTTACAGAAGAAAGATCCAGGGAATGGGATTTGGAAATTGATTTTATTAAAAATTAATGTTATTCTGCCTTCTGGGAAGTCTTTTGGTATCCCTAGGGGTAAAGATAAAGAAGGCAATGCTAAAATTAATCATTCTTTACATAGCTGAACATTAGAGTTATGGCATTTAGGGGAAGATTATCTAGATAAATTTGTTTTGATACATTTTTCAATATAGGGAGACATATGTGGAAATCTTATAATGGTGGCTAGGCTCTCATATTATAATGTGTTCAATAATATTTCTAAGTCTAGTTAGACTGCTGGAATAAGTGTTTCTAGTGTAACCCAAACTGGCTTTAAGCCCTAGTTTTTAACTATATAACCTTGAAGTTACCATAATTAATTAACTTCTCCAGTTCAGAGTTTCCTCTGTAAAATTGGGTTCATAAAGCATGCATGGTGCCTAGAGTGTATGATTGCCTTAAGATTAAATTACATAAGATATGTGAAAAAGTAGTATATAGGGATTATATACACAGACTTTTCTTTTTGACTTATTATTTTTGGGTAAGGGAAGGAATGGAGTTGCAACTGAGGACATGGAAAAGATGTGATAAAGTCATGCCAGGAATGCCTTCTGAGTCACCTCCTGGCATTTCTCAGAATTTGGGACAAGTTTCTCAGTATTACAAAGCATAGGATAATAATGAGGCTTTATTAGGGAGAAGGAAACGTTACAGGACTAAAGTCAGCAAGGGAAGATCTAGGTTCCCAATATTCCAGCAGTGTGAGTGTCCATGGCTGGAGCACTATTTTGAACACATCATGGTGTCTGTATACTGCAGAGAAAGTATTCCTTCATATTTCACATTATTTTTCATTTTTATAAAGCAAGCATCAAGAGTGTCCTTCTCAGTGAAGGGAAACGTAAACTGTTTAGGCTCCAAGCAGTATAGATTTAGGCACCAGCTTTTTATAGTTGTTATACATGAATACCAGCTTCCCAGCCACTGGTGACCTTGGGATTTGTGAAGTTGTTGCCCTCCTGTGGGAAGGAGGAAAGTCCAGTACTGTAGGAAGCTGAGTTTGGTTGCTCTTTTGTAGGAAACTTTGCAAGACTCTGGACGTATCTGGTGCTGCTTTAGTACTAAGGAGTCAAGATATAGTAGAGGAGAGAAGAGGACCAATTTCACATCACTACATAGGGCTGTCCTGATATTCCTTAGGCACATAGAGAATTGGCACATTGCTTGACAAGGATATAATGAGAGCAACTCTGAAAACTCTCATAAAAATATATGGATCTTCATTCAGGGGTATTGTTATTCATGTGATTTGCTGTCTCAGTTACTGTTGCTGTGTAACAAACCACCTCAAATTTGGGAGCTAAAAAAAGATGGTCATTTTCTTATGCTCATTGGTCAAGGCATAAGGCTTGTCTTTTTTCCTCCATTTGTGGGGCCTCAGCTGGGAATACTCAATTGGGTAGGATGGGGGAATCTATTTCCAACTTAGCTTCTTCATTCGTATTTCTAGCACTTTGGCAGGAAGGGCTAAAATGTTGGGCTTTGGTGGGTCTGTTGGACAAAGTGCCTATACTTGGACCTGTTAGCATGAATAACAAGCAATAGTCAGATTTTTTTTTTTTAACATTGTAGTGCAGTGGGAGTGTCCTAAGAGGTAATGTCCAGAGAATGGTCATTCCTGGAGAGCCAGGTGGAAGTTGTATGGCCTTGAATGGGAAGTAACTTCTATCAAATTCTGTTGTAGAATTAATAAAACTGCCTAGATTCAAGGGAAACAGACAGAGACATGATTCACCTCTTTCAGGGAGGAGTATCAAAGCATTTGTAGTCATTTAAAAAAAATTTGTCACCCTAGGATATCAACTTCACTTTGTTTCTTGGTTTAAATTCTGAAACTAAAAAATCTAATTGGCTTAGGTCAGTCTTTGGATTGAATTCCCTGGTCCTGTCATTGTGGCATTAGGGACAGGCTCATACATTTAGTAGAATTGCCCTTTCTGCAGCCTGGGAGAAGCAGATCTTCTAAAAAGAGATTCATCCTTCAAAGCTGTGCTCCCAGTGACACACATCCTCTAACCAGCCCTGCCTTCTAACAGCACATTTAGCTGTGAACTCATCAATAGATTGATTCACTGATAGGTATTGCACCTCCGTGATTCAAACACCCTTTCAAAATCTCCACCTCTGAACACATGAGGCTGAGGGAACATTTTAGAAGCAATGTGGTGAAAAAGGAGAACCTGGATAAGAAAAAATGAAGAGGGAACGCCATGGGGTGACTGAAGCTCAAGGTAGGCACCCTAACCAGCTTGCAGAAACACTGAAAGGAGATTCTACAAGCACAAGTTCTATTAAAAACATAACATTTGAGTGATTGATATTTATATGTCATCCATAGAAAGACAAGGCTTGGAAACATTAAGTTTAAGGAGTGAATGATATCAGAAAATCAACCATCTTCTAGAAATTAAATTTGACCTTGATCAAAATCAAAGAACGATGGAAACATTTCACAGCTGCTATAGATTTCCATCTTGTAGAAGCAGATGTTAAAAATCAGATTTTCTTGGCCTTTAGTTTGTCTGTCCCATAATAATAATAACTAACCACACTGAACTCTTTCCTCTGAGCATCTGCGGGTAGTAAGCAACGGGGAAATATAGTTTTAATTTTGTTTACAGCTACTATAACAGGCACTAAAAAATATGTCATGTTTTTTAATCTTCTTTTCTGCTTGAGGAAACTACTTCATGGGGAAATTAAGTGACTTTATCAGGGTCTCAGGACAGCTTATGAGATTAGAATATCCTATCTTTGGCTACCAAAGCTTTTTGAGGAGCCACCATTTATGCTCTACTAACCCGCTTCCTCTGCTTTTATAGAATTTATAGTGGTAGTATAGTTAGCCAAAGATCTATAAGATTCTTTATGCATGAGAAGAGACTAGGGAATATCTGATTTCACAAGCTAGTTTTGTGTATCGCGGTTCTTTTAAGTTCACTGTAATACTCCAGTAATCAAAACTTTAACTAGAAAAAAAATTGCTATAAAAGGGGAAAGACGCTATTCTTTTGTAGAAAAGTTCAAACTGTAACCAACCAATTCAAAACCCAATAATACTGATTAAAGTGAATGTTATTCACATCTCATGGCAAGAGGAGAGGAAAAATAGACCGAAACTGAACAATCCATCAGGAAAATCTGACAACCTTAGTATAAAGGACTTCAGTGCTTCATATTGAAGTCCCATCTTTTTTATCAGTACCTATAAATTTTCCTTTCATCTTCTTTGGTGCTGTAAATATAATATGATAATTGCCTCCAATAAATTTCTCTGTAGTGAGAAGTCTTAGGGAAAATAATTTGTGTATTTCTTATCTATTAATATTCTAAAGTAATAATTTTCACACTTATAGAACCAATAATTTCATTTTAT